AATCGTCACTAGTAATAAGGACTTAATCGTCACTTGCATCCCTATGATAAAATTAATTTCCAGCTAAAATTTATGGGATATCTCCCTTTCGTAGGGTCCTTTTTCCCCAGCGCATTCCTATGGTATTTCGTAGTAGGTATCGATAGTGTTATGTATGGCTCATAAAAAGTCTTGTTGTGGGGTTACGAATTATGTGGGTTGGGGGTGCGGGGGCGCAGCCCCTGCGGTACGGTACAGGGTTAATTTTGTAATTATGTACCAGGGTTTTCTATTATAAATAGAGATGTAACCTAGACCTAAAAGATCATTGAATAAAACTTCTAGCGCCGCCTAGGCACCGAGGACGTAAGCACATTGCCGAACCTCGTAAAATTCTCGTGTTCTTTCGTTTTCTTTACCCGTCAACGTCAACAATTGGTATCAGATGTCAGGAGCAAAATTCGAAGTCGCGAAATTCGATGGTCAGGGTAACTTCGGATTATGGCAAACGAGGGTGAAGGATCTATTGGCGCAGCAAGGGATCTTGAAGGCTTTGCGACCTACAAAGCCGGCGTCGATGGATGAGGAAGATTGGGAAGAATTGCAGCAGCGAGCGGCAGGAACCATACGATTATGCTTGGCGGACGAGGTCATGTATCACGTCATGCATCTATCGTCTCCAGACGAAATTTGGAGGAAGTTGGAAAGTCAGTTTATGTCCAAATCCTTAACGACAAAACTGTATCTGAAGCAGCGGCTGTATGGGCTGAAGATGCAGGACGATCACGATTTGGCGCAACACGTGAATGTCTTCAATCAAATCATTTCTGATCTGGCTCGGCTTGATGTGAAAATTGAGGATGAAGACAGGGCGATGATTCTGTTGTGTTCGTTGCCTTCCTCTTACGAACACATGGTGACTACTCTTACATATGGGAAAGAGACTATCAACGTTGAGGAGATTACTGCAGCCTTGTTGGCTCACAACCAGCGGAAGCAGAATACAGGGGAAAGCTCTCAAGCCGATAGCTTATATGTCAAGGGTAATCGAGATCGTGGACGGAAGCCAGAGAAGGCAGGGTCCGGGAAGCGGAATTCCAGATCCAAATCCAGGGATAAGAAGACGATTCACTGTTACAAGTGCAAGGAGGCGGGACATATGAAGCGAGACTGTCCGAAGTTGAAAAAGCAGACTGATGAGAAGCGTGATGGCTCATCCAAGTCTGTGAACGTGGTCGAGGATGATACTTCTGATTGCAGTGAGGGTGATATGCTTTCTATTTCAACGACACAATTGACGGATGCTTGGATTCTTGATTCTGGATGTTCTTATCACATCACGCCAAATAGGGAATGGTTTTCGACATACAGGCCGGTTAATTCTGGTTCGGTTTATTTGGGTGATGATCGATGTTGCAATATTGTTGGTATTGGTGATGTCAGAATTAAGATGCACGATGGCTCCGTTCGGACGTTGAGTGGTGTTCGAAATATCCCAGACTTGAAGAAGAATTTGATTTCCTTGGGCACTTTGCACAAGAATGGTTTTATCCCTAAGGCTGACAAGGATAGGGAAACCATTCGGATTGTTAAAGGAGCATTGACTGTGATGAAAGGCAAGATGACTGCAGGGAATATCTACAGATTGTTAGGGAGTACCGTTGCAGGTGGAGTTCACTCTGTTGAGTCCTGTGATGATACGACAAAATTGTGGCATATGCGCCTTGCTCATCTTAGTGAACGTGGTATGGCAGAATTACACAAGAGAAACTTGTTGCATGGTGTCAAAAGCTGTAAGCTCGATTTTTGCAAGTATTGTGTTCTTGGTAAACAGACTAAAGTCCGTTTCAAGACTGCGATGCACACAACTCAAGGGATTCTTGATTATGTGCATTCTGATGTATGGGGGCCTTCCACGACATCGTCTTTGGGTGGATCTAGGTACTATGTTACTTTTATTGATGATTTTTCACGGAAAGTTTGGGTGTATTTTTTGAAACAGAAATCTGAAGTTTTTGAGAAGTTCAAGCTGTGGAAAGCTGAGGTAGAAAACCAAACAGGACGAAAAATCAAGTGTTTGCGGTCTGATAATGGTACGGAGTACACAGATTCACAGTTCCTACAATTCTGTAAGGAGCATGGGATTCAGAGGCATTTTACAGTGCGCAAGACACCACAACAGAATGGTGTTGCGGAACGAATGAACAGGTCGTTGAATGAAAGAGCCAGATGTTTGCGGTTGAATGCGGGGCTTCCCAAACACTTCTGGGCTGAGGCTGTTAACATGGCGTGTTACCTTATCAACAGATCGCCAAGGGCATCGCTGGCTGGGAAAGTTGCAGAAGAGGTATGAACTGGTCATGATGTTAGTTTTGATAACTTACGGATTTTTGGTTGTCCTGCTTATGTGCATGTACCTGCTAATGAGAGATCCAAACTTGATGCAAAATCGAAGGAGTGCATTTTTCTGGGTTACAAGAAAGGTGTCAAAGGATTCAAGTTCTGGGATCCAGTTGCGAAGAAAGTTGTGATTAGTAGAGATGTCGTTTTTGATGAACAGTCTATGTTGCAGCAGAAGTAAGACACGACAGTGGTAGATTTCGAGCAGTTTCCAGTTGAGAAACCAGAAACTTCTCAACCGACTTCTGGTGGTTCCACTACGGATGATTTGCAGGATTATAGTCTCGCCAGAGACAGGGTGAGACGGACGAATATAAAGCCTTCGAACAGATTGGGTTTTGAAGACTTGGTATCTTTTGCACTTACTGTTAGCAGTGATGATCCAGTTACTTTTCATGATGCCGTTACTAGTCAGGAAAACGACAAGTGGATGGCAGCCATGGTTGAGGAGATGGAGTCTTTGAATCACAATCGTACATGGGAGTTAGTTCCCCTTCCTGAGGGTAAGAAGTCGATTGGTTGCAAATGGGTGTATAAGAAGAAACCAGCAGTAACAGAAAAAGAGGGGGAGAAGTTCAAGGCTCGTTTGGTAGCGAAGGGTTTTTCACAGCAGAAAGGAGTTGATTATGATGAAATCTTTTCTCCTGTGGTCAGGCACACTTCAATCCGAGCAGTACTTGCATTGGTGGCTAGTTGGGATTTGCATTTAGAGCAGATGGATGTTAAAACTGCTTTTTTGCATGGTGATTTAGAGGAGCAGATCTACATTCGGCAACCTGAAGGTTTCACTCAACCTGGAAACGAGCATTTAGTTTGCAGATTGAAGAAATCTTTGTACGGGTTAAAACAGTCTCCGAGACAGTGGTATAAACGGTTTGACTCCTATATGATCAAGATTGGCTACAACCGATGTGAGTATGATTGTTGTGTCTATGTTAAGAGCCTTGATGATGGTTCTTTTATTTTTCTATTACTGTATGTTGATGATATGTTGATTGCTGCGAAGAACATGGATGATGTTATCGGTTTGAAAACTTTATTGAGTCAGGAATTTGATATGAAAGATTTAGGTGCTGCAAAGAAAATTCTTGGAATGGAAATTTGCAGGGACAGAGACTCAAGGAAACTGCGGCTATCTCAACGGGGTTATGTTGAGAAAATGCTAGAAAGGTTTGCGATGAGCAGCGCGAAACCAGTTAGCACTCCATTGGCGAATCACTTTAAGCTCTCATCAGAACAGTGCCCTAAGACAGATAAGGAAGCTGAAAATATGGCAAAGGTTCCGTATTCTAATGCTGTTGGCTGCTTGATGTATGCGATGGTATGTACTCGTCCTGATTTAGCTCATGCTGTTAGTCAAGTTTGTAAGTACATGTCTAAACCTGGTAAGCAACATTGGGATGCAGTCAAGTGGATCTTTCGGTACTTAAAGGGTACTGTGGGACATGGAATTGTTTTTGGGAGTCAGCGGGATAATCCTTTGGTTGTAGGATATGTGGATTCAGATTATGCAGGTGACTTGGATAATAGAAGATCTACGACAGGGTATGTGTTTACTCTTGGTGGAGGGCCTATTTGCTGGAAGTCTACTGTTCAATCTGACGTGGCACTATCTACAACTGAAGCTGAATACATGGCAGCGGCTGAAGCTGCAAAAGAAGCTTTATGGCTTACTGGTTTAGTGAAGGAGTTGGGTGTTCAACAAGGTGGAGTTCAGTTGCTTTGTGATAATCAAAGTGCTATTCACTTGGCTAAGAATCAGGTGTATCGTGCTAGAACTAAACATATTGATGTAAGGTTCCACAAGATCAGAGAGTTGGTTGCATCTGGAGAGGTTTTGTTTCAGAAGGTACATACTGATGAGAATGCCGCTGATATGTTCACCAAGCCAGTTACGACAGACAAGTTCAAGCATTGCTTGGACTTGTTGAATGTTTCGAGTTGTTAAAGAAGCAAGGTAACCCAACCCACATTGAAGTTTCCAAGGGGCAGGATATTCGCCAAGGTGGAGATTTGTTATGTATAGCTCATAAAAAGTCTTGTTGTGGGGTTACGAATTATGTGGGTTGGGGGTGCGGGGGCGCAGCCCCTGCGGTACGGTACAGGGTTAATTTTGTAATTATGTACCAGGGTTTTCTATTATAAATAGAGATGTAACCTAGACCTAAAAGATCATTGAATAAAACTTCTAGCGCCGCCTAGGCACCGAGGACGTAAGCACATTGCCGAACCTCGTAAAATTCTCGTGTTCTTTCGTTTTCTTTACCCGTCAACGTCAACAGATAGCGATCGACTGACCATAATAAACACAAATAAGGACACTCATTGACGGTGCAACTCAGTCCAGGATGTCTAAAGATCCATTTTTTAGATAACCTCTCCACTGTTTGACCTACACGAAAATTCTTATTAAGTATTCAACCTTCATTCAACGACTCATATCTTCCATTTTGGGGTGGGTCCTTGGTAATAATTGAGCCAGGTTTTTTTCCTGGCATGCTTTGAGTTTCCTAACCTGGAGAAGACAACGCCATGTGAACCACATATGAACACCCCTTTCATCTATATAAATACACACCCCATGATCGACTTCATCAGCATCGAAACAAAAAAAAATTCGTTCACTCTCCAAGATCCATCTATCGAACAAAACAATGGGGTTTCGTCTGCCACGCATTGTTAATGCCAAGAGAATTCTCGGAGCATCATCTCCCATGACAACTGATGTTCCCAGGGGATACTTTGCGGTTTACGTAGGAGAAAACCAGAAGAGATTTGTGATACCTGTGTCCTACTTGAACAACCCTTCGTTTCAAGAGTTACTCAGTCGATCGGAAGAAGAGTTCGGATACGTTCATCCCACCGGTGGTCTCAGAATTCCCTGTGGTGAAGACGCTTTCGTCCATCTTACTTCTCGGCTCGCTTGAACTGAATTAGCTAGCATATATTGGGTCAATGAATACTGCTTTTTCTTTTGGTTTTTTAAAAGGAAACACCATTGCTACCATGTACAACTTTTTTTCCACCTCGTTGGTTTGCCTTGGAAAAAGGTAAACGAGTCGCCTAAGTGGGAGACTAGAGGTGGATTTATTTATTTTTTCCATATGTAGTCATCTACATGTAATTTTAATTTACGTAACTGTCCAAATACAGAATAGAATCACGTGAATTAATCTATGTAACCTTCCACACAGACAATACATGTATTAGAACATGCAACTGTCCAGACAGGGCATCACCATTGTATTGTCGTATTAAAACCCAAACTTTTCCCTATTCCAAACTGCAATTTACTGTGTGCAAAAAAGAGCATCTTTCAACAACTTGCTAACAGCATTGTGTTGTAATCGGATGTATAAGGAAATCCATATGTAAACAAACTGTAAAACCAGCCATTTTAAAAGTTCGAGACTTGAGACGAGAAGTACACTAGTCGCCAGAGTTGTGAACGGCATATTTTTTTCAGTGCATTTAATGAAATTTTTAGGATAAAGCGGTTTATGCTCTAAGGCTTGCCACTACCGAGAAAGGAAACAACTGCTTGCCTAGTCGCCAAAGTTGTTAACTACGCATTTTGCATTTCTAAAACCCATAAATATGCTTTTACAGCTATCGAAGCTCTAAAAACTGCCAACGGAGCTTGACGTTGAAGCCCCGGAACTGGTGCGGTTTGAAGGTGAATCCTCTTCCTCGGGCAGTTTGGCGTCTGTGAGAAGAAGAAAACACTGGTGATGCTGTTGAACACTTAAACTTCATTAGATCAGTGGATGAGAAGTGAAAACAAACTCACAAAGAAGAACAAAATATGTTGGTCAAACCATCCTTAGTTGCCCCAAGCCAGATACAAACTTGTAAAAAATGACCAAAATTATAAAGAAAAGTGACATTGGAAAATAAAGAAAAGTCTATTCTGAAGAGCCCAGGAAATCAAAAGAGGGAAAATTTGGAAAGTTATGGAACTGGCATCATGTGGTAGGACAGAGCAGCAAGCTATACAGAGTTTTTTTTACCTCCAAGCTGAATATGCATCACATTAGCCTCCAACAAGCCGTTCATATGATAAAATAAGAAAAAATGCTTTGTGAGAGAGACAGAAATTAAAACCAAGTATAAACATCTTGTGCCTGTGTGTAAGCATGCAAATGTGCATGTTTGGAGATAAATAGAGAGATGGAGAGGACATCACACCGATCCATTTATCCAGCATTTCAGCTTCGAACTTGAAATACTTCAGACTTCGGCATAAGAACTGTAAGCACAGGCAACAATGAGATAAGAGGACAAACACGATCTCAAAAAAGGAGGCAAAGGAAAGAAGACAGAGAGATAGACTACCTCTTTATTTGCGAGAGGTCTGACGTAAAGAGCATATTTTGGGGATAAACAAGGCAGGGAAAAAACCTTTAGCTTAGCTATTCGAGAAATCTTCTATGAAACAAAAATAGATAAGTTTAACAAAACAAACCCATTAGAATCATTATGTTGGTCAATATAACGAAGAAACATATGCTAGACCCTGTAAAAGGCATAACTAGAAGATTATCAACACATCATGGAAAGAACATAAATAACAGTAGCATCGATTAGATATTATTCACTAACCTTCCCTTGTTAGCATAGCGGGTCAATTCACCTGTAGGAGAAAACATCATATGGCCAACATCGGTATCATCTAACGTAGATAATTCAGCGCCCATACTGAGAAGCTATCCTTGCGTTTAGAGTAAATTATCTGACGAGAAGAAGGGTCGACAGTTCTCTTCTTCGGGTGCCTCTTGTAACCCACGATGAGATGAAATCGAATACGAAAGTAAAGGAAGAAAACTTGTGGTAGGCAACTGAGTGAGAACGGCGTTTGACAACTGTCGTTTTGATGTCAAAATAATTTTCTTCTTCTCAATAATATATAAGAAAGAAATACGTAGTAAATAGAAGTAAGGGTCGATCCACAGGGACTTAGAAAATTCCCAAATTTCGGTTTGAATTACTTTGACCAAACGATATTCAGTAAATAAAATGAAGGTTTTGATAAAAATGATTAAATAAGAAAAAGTAATTTAAAGTAAAAATAAATAAAATAGATAATGTAGAGTTGAAAATAAATATGATAAAAACAGCCTCAAGTCTCTCTTTGACTCAATTTCCTTCAGATCATCGAATTAGATTTTTCCTTTGAGATTCACGTCGGTTACTTTGTCTACAAGGGCAATCCTCGTGACTCTAATTTGTATACCGAATACCCAAGAAAATATTTGATTATGGCTTCGGAAATTGATCTGATCAACATCAATTGTCGTAGACCAATAACCATTTAAGTTCGTGAAGACCGACTCGGATTGTTGTTTCAATAACTACTAATTCCGATATCAATTCCCTCTTAGCAAGGCAATCTCGCCAAGTGTGTTCCCAGGAAGTCGAATGTTATTTCAATAAGCTGATTCTTCATCCCACACATTTAGTCGCAACAACATCTTGACCAAAGTCAATCTTTGATTTTGAAAACTGTTTTGATTTTGAAATAAGCACAGAGATTGAGAGAGATATTCCGAAGTTATTCAAGTGTTTTTCAATTCTCACGTTGGAATTGAGTCATCGCTTTAGCCCTCGGTTTATGAGAAAATTAGCCAAGCATGACTAAAGTCATACTTATCATGTTTAAAAATAAACTTAAAACAAAATAAAAATGAAAGTTTGAAAAAAAAAAGAACTTTATAAAACTAGAAACAAGAAGAAGAGTGAAATATGAGTTGTGTGTTTAGGCTTACCCTAAGAGGGTATTTATAGCCTCTAAAACCCTAGATATAAACATAGAAATTAAAACAAAAGAAAACCTAAAGATAATTCCAAATGTTTTCTAAATTCAAACTTTAAAATAAAAAAATAAATCTCCTAAGATATCTCTGTCAGTCCACCTTCCAGAAGGTGCTGACTAGATCTTCTAGAAAACTGCTGCTGACTGGACCTTCTAGAAACTGCCACGACAGACCGTGTCATGCCCAGAATCGTACCCATGTCTTCAACCGTGACCAAATAATAAAAAATGAAGAATGTACCCTTTTTACTACTAATTCTAGAAAGTACAATCATGCACAAAAATAAGATAACACAACCAAATAAGCAGCAATAAATCCATAAGATCGAAGATTTAACAAGAAAATATTATCGATTTAGAACACTCATCAAATTCCCCCTCACTTATCTTATGCTTGTCCTCAAGTATGATATAATAAAATCAGCCAAAAATTACATTTAACTTTCTTTGTCAAGTCTCACATTCAAGGAAGCAAGATAGAGACCACAATAATCATCCAAGTCAAGACACCAATCAATTGAACATCACCAATTGGAATAAGTTAAATACTATTGTAACATCTATTCATTCATCAATCTCAATGCCATATAACTCAACACCTTATCAGGATTCACTCAAATCACTCAATGTGTTATCAAAACCGACATGACATTACAATAAGCCTGCAAGTAAATCAAATCTCCAGTACTAATAAGAACAAGATGCATAAATCAATGGGTATTTTATTGGTTGTAACGGGGCATAGGTAAAAGTGGTAACAAGGCTAAATATATGGCTAAAAATTCAAGACAAAGAACTACAAATAATAAGTAATACTCCATCAATCGACTAAATACAACAATATAAAAGACACAATACCATCAAACAACATCTTTCCTTTCCTTTCGAATTGAATTTGACTTTACCACACTTTTGTTGTTGTTTTGTTTTTCCACTATTTCTCATGTTTTTTTATGTTTTCTTTTTTCCCTTTCTTTTCGAACTATTGTTTTTTTTTATAAAAAAGAAGAACATTTTTTTCTTTTTGCACATGACTTCCTTTCTAACATACCAAAAATTCTTCTGTTCATGGAGCATACACGGATAATTTGTTCACTTGTCCTGAAAAATGTAGAAAAGAGGGATAAAATAAAAAGGTTCGGGTTTATGAATATGGTGAAAACAAATAATGGAAATAGGCTCAAGAGTGGTTAACTAGGGGAAAATGCATGGGTAGGCCATTTAGTGGGTAAAACGGAATGGTTATTCCTAAGGTACCCAAATCATTTTTAAGCATCATATTCATGTGTAATCTCGACAGTATTTAAAATGCAGGTTCTAGAATACCAATGTCAAATTTGAAACACTCAATCCAACAAAATGAGAGTAAAAAGATATGCTTGTAAAGGCTCAAATCTCACCAAATTGTTTTCGTGCATTGAGCTAAGCAATTTTAACCAACAAATCATGGAATATCACAAGAAATCTAACTTGATCATAATTCATGTTATCCGCTATCAAGAATATCCTAACGTAAACAATTATGTGTTCCCAAACAATCATGGCATTCCAAAAACATTCAATAGGACAAAGAAATTAAATGAAAGTTTCAACAAATTCAATCAACACATACTAGCATCAAACCATAGAGATAAGCAAAGGGAAATTCAAACTAGACTCTACTTCCCCTCACTTAAGTAATTTTGTCCCAAAACGTAAAATTAAAGTACGAGAGAAGAAATAGAGAACTCCCCGGATTTATTGTCCACCACGTCCACGGCGGGAGGTGCTGGGACAAAAAAGTGGGTTGCCTGGTTTGATGTTGTGAACCAGAAGCCTGGTCAGGTGGTGTCATCGATGGAAAATCGACATCTAAATCTTTTGTAAAACCATAAACGATATGATACATTAGTAACGGATGAACGAAAATAGGATCAGAATTTACCTCTGGAGTATTGTCTGATGTCGCTGAATCTATGGAACACAATGGGAAGGTCGACTGTCATGGACGAGAGGAAGAAGTGGCCACATTTGGCATAGATTGAAAAGACGGTGATGAAGAACACGGCGGAGATGGACGAAGAACAGTGCTCAGTCCAGTGTAGAGAGAGGTGGTGGGTGCAAACGCCGAATGATATGGTATGGGCAGAGAGTTTGGTGTGTGGCCTCAGAATCGCTGGGCACCTAAACAAAGGTCGGTGCATTGAGCTGGTGACGCCCGTCGAGGATAGTTGGTGGTACGACATCATGGTGTTGTTAGTTCCTTGTGTTAACCATTGTGAGCAGCAGCGAACAAGTAAAACACGG